CATATGGCATAACAAGCCCTTGAAAGATGGCATATAGCCCTTGAAAAGTTGGCATGAAGCCCTTAAACATAGATTGGCATTAAGCCCATGTGATGGCATAAAGCCCTTGTAACTTGTGATGGCATAAAGCCCTTGTAATGGCATAAAGCCCTTCTAACTTGTAATGGCATAAAGCCCATGAAACTTGTAATGGCATAAAGCCCATGAAACTTGTAATGGGAATGATTTCAGTCTTCTTGAAGTATCAGTAAGCAATAATGCACATAAGTTGCCCATGGCCTGATTACAAATTAATACAAGTGTCTCGCGAACAACTGAATAATAATTATCATAACAATTATTAACTGAGGCCACATAATAATATTAAACATTGCATGCGTGTCACAGGTTCTTGATGACCTCGGGTCCATAAGTAACACCATAGAATAATCTCAGTTTCATACAGATACTTGGCTTAAAGATGAACATAATTCTATTTATTCATTAAGAAACGACGTAGTTTGCTTATAGATAATAGAGAATTTATTATTCACTATTGATAGAACGAAGTCATCACTTCTTTCAAAAAAATCTGTTTTCTCAAAAACGGTTTGCCGGATTTAGACTCTTTGGTTCAGACTTAGAACCGTGACTAACGAAAGTCGAGTCCGAGCTGTAGCGAGGTCCCCCGCGGGCTTGTTACAATGTAACATGTTCGTGTAACACTTACAAGAAACAGAGCATTAGTGATAACAATTATCAATAATAAATAAAATGTACATCTCCGTACTATTACTCACAGTGCATTGGTGGAGCATTTATTCCTCCCGAAGCGTGTCCTACACACATATGAAGTCACACATTAATTCTTTAAATCATTTCCCCTAATTTCCTTTCTCAATTTAACATGATTTATAATGCCCATAACAAGGTTCATTCGTAAATTTTTAACATTATTTCAAAACATCTCAGAAATCCAATTAAACTCTTACACGTATAACCCAACCCACCAATTCCATGATTCTATTTCCAATTTGAGCAAAATCATTCTTTATCATCACAAATTCATCTAGGGTTTCAAGAACATAAAGTTTTCCATAAAAATATTCATGCTTCTCATACCATGACCTTACATCCCAATTCCCGCCTTGATTATACATCTAGGGATCATACTCCATCACTTTAACCCATCAATTGAACCTTCAATGTTTCAAACTCAAAATTCCCAAAATCTCATAATTTCCTCTATATGCTCAAAATGAAAATTTGTACATTTATACAATGAAAATACCTCAAATCTAACCATGGATGTAAGTATTGAAGAGAAATAGAACCCCTACCTCAATAATCAAGCAAAAGAGTGAGCTTGGAAAGAAGCCTTCGCAAATCCAAGTTCCAATCGGGTAAAAACATTGATCCTCCCTTGTTCTTCATCCTTGATGCCAAAAACCATGGTGGATCGTGATCAAAGTAAAGGAATTCAAGGGCTTGGGGGCTAGGGTTTCGGACATGGAAGAGAGGAAGGAAGAGGAAAGAAGAAAAACATCTAAAATGATCCAAAATCCCGTTTTTAAAGCTGCTGGTCCGAAAAACCCGCTCGAGCGCACATCTTCACGCTCGAGCGTACATGCATTCAGCACAGATGTCAAAACTTCAAATAGGCATAACTCTCCCATCCGAACTCCGTTTTAAGTCGTTCTTGTGCTCAAATTGAAGCCCCGAAAATAAGCTTTCCAATGGATCCAACCTCACATTCAAATTCAAGGTGTGGAAAAAGAAAAGGGCAAAAGAGTGACTGTTGAACGTAAACAAATTGTTCGAATTAAAGTTTTTGGTCCTATCTTACTTCACCATCATATTATCACTTCAAACAATACTCCAAAATAAAATAAGAAGATTCCAAATACACCACTACAATGTCAAGGGAAATCTTACTTCTCACGCTCGAGCGTCGCTTCAACCGCTCGAGCGCACACAGACCAATAAAGCAGTCCGCTCGAGCGTCAACTTCTCCGCTCGAGCGGAGATTCACAACTCCCAGAATCTCAGGCCGTCTGCAAAATTGCTGAGAACCCCAAAAGTCCGCTCGAGCGGAGGGAAAAATTCTGGGTCGTCACATCCTTCCCGCCTTAAGAAATTTCGTCCTCGAAATTGAAGAAACCAAATAGAAGACAGTTCAAACATAAACGGAAACACACCCTGTAATGTTCCAAAACTAGATCCACACTTGGGATAGGATAGGGTCACAAATACTTTCGATCAACACATACATATCAGAATTTCAACGGGTAAAGAGCAACACTAACCATTGATAATCCCAAAGTCCATAATAACTTCTCAATTAACAACAAATTTTCAATTACACTTCACTTAACGGCATCACCAATTCTTTATTCCACTTGACATTTAAAAAAAAAACAAAAACAGTGATGACCATCATACAATTACTCCTTAAAAACAATTACGTAGAGAAGTTCCTACTTAACTTCAAGAGAGGCCAAACAAACATACCTTAAATTTTAGGATTTCTATACCCTCTTTCACTTTCTCATTTGCTCCCTAGAAGATCTATGCTCTTCTTTTCAACCCTTATGCCTTTCCATACGTACGAAGACTTAGGTATACATATAGATAGTCATATATAAAAATATATAGGACAAAATCCAATCGTTAAATCATTCCGAAATTGAAATCTCATAAACATACTTAAGATGTCATAAAAATTAGGCTGATCACAGATACATAATCCATTCAGATAATTAAACCTTTAAGGCTTCCAATTCCTTATTCGATTATTCTAAGTATAACAGATACGTTTCTTGTTAAACAGATAGGCATCCTTAAACATGGTTTCACTATTTAGTCTTAACTGCTCAGGGGATTTCACCGTAAACATTTAAAAGCACAAAACAAGGATTGAAAAACATGATTTATAAATTCCTACAGCATACATTAATTCCTTAATTGAATCTTATAAGGCAATTTACTCGGTGGTACATGACCATTACGGTTACACATAGTTCTCAAAATAACTTAATTACGTGGTCAAATTAAAATCCGATTTTGCATCATTGAACCAGATCTTATAACCTACCAAATAAGGTTCTGCCTAAGAGGCACGATATATTCCATTTCACCAGTCCCCAATACAGTGATAAGCTCAAAGTCATATTTCATTTCCAAAAACATATCAAAATCATATCGTTATGTGGAGTCAAAACCACATTTACTAATTGTTGACAAGATCGGAACGGTGAGAAGAAGAATCCCCATTATAAACACCTGATCATGTCGTCATAAGTTCAAATCTGGATAATATATACAGTTATCGAAACAAGGCTAGAAATCGAATTCAAAATCTTACTTGATTAATCAATCATAACCATAAGGTATGATATTTTCCTTTACTAACACTTTTTCTTGTCATAGCACAAATTAATTTGGCCTCTTTCCTTTTTCTTTTTTTTTTTTTCTATCTTTCAAACGATTCTTCTTTTTCTTACTGGAAGACACGAGGTCAATCACATGGTTTCGTATTCACATCATAACTGCCATATAAGTGATATAGGACAATGTCATAATTGCTAACATTTGCATAGTTACACAGATAGTTCACAGGAATGATTTTCTCAATCTTAAATCACGTAATATACAAAAGCAGAATTTGAATTCTTGCAGTAGCTCAGCTATTTACCGATCATTTAGCTTGACGTCGAAGTAGTCAATAGCTACTCCATTTTTTTTTTGTCTCGTGTAAGTAGACACGCGATGTGGGTGAGGTCCCTTATATCATTCAATCATTTTTTACAAGAAATTCTGATCGCAAATTACAAGATACACGTAAACAAACCAGATTACAGACTTCAAATCACAAATCACGGATTCCATAATCAATCCCGATTGCACATAAACGAAACAGATAAATAGGAACATATTCATACATATTCCTAGTTATACTTGAATCGAAACAGAAATCAGAGTTTATGCTTGATCATTATCCACCCGTACAAGACCGTCGGTGGCACCATCCGTACAAGACCGTCGATGGCAAAACATATCTTGTAACATACTGAAACCACGGTATCGTTACCCCCGGGCAAGGGCCTTATACTAAGGATGCCATGAATATTTTTACATATATGGATCATCATTCCTTAATTCGTAACATAACATATCAGAAAATAAAACATTGCTTGTCATATCATGTCATTGTCATGCGCTTAACAAAATAGGAAAATCAAAGTATATATCACAATATTTTTGTTTTCAAATCATAGGTCCATACAGTACCATGACAAGGAAGACATAACTGTATCATAAATATTCCATACTTAGTGTTTAGGCAATTTGCAAGTCATCTAAATATATGATAGGTAACTATCATTTCAAAATCAACCAAAAATTGCATGTGCATTACTTACCAATCACTTTCCCTTTTCATTTTGTCTAACCAACCCGAGGTGATCCTCTACCCTTATTTCCGCCATGCTCTACACAACGATCAATCACAATATACACACAAGGAATGTACAATAAACATGACTCATAATCGTTAACGTGAACAAATTACATTTACCGTTGCTATCCGTCTGTTCGTATGTACTAAGGATGTCATGCATGAAGCCTAAGTCTTTTCTAGACATCCTACAGCTCAATAGATCCGTGTGTGAGATAGCAACTCGTGCTCTGATACCACTTGTCACACCCCAGAACTCGCCCCTAAAAGTTTGGGCATGACCACCTCAGAAAACGGACATAAAACCTGATGAATATAATCTACGGGGCCTGAACGGAAGCATTTAATAGTATATGATAGCAAACAAAAATAATAATAATTATAACAATATATCCATTGAGCTACCACTACCATGCCAGGATCACAAACAGAACATAATGCAGATAGATCTACAGTGACGTGCTCCTGAAGATAGCTATGTACATATACATATACGCCGATCTTAACAGACATTTAGGGTACAAATTAAAACTTAGCAAAACTCCATAACTTGAACGATCAACAGCTAAGAGCTTAGATACTCAGGGTTTGACAACTGGGTAACAAAAGCCACAGGTGAAGGTTGATCTCCAGGTTGAGTGCCTACAGAAACAAACATGTCACAATATCTAACATTTGCATAGGTACACAGAAATATTTCACAGAAATGATTTCTCAATCTTAAGTCACTTAATATACAAAGGCAGGATTTGAATTCTTGCGGTAGCTTATCTATTTACCAATTATTTAGTTTGACTTCGACGTAGTCAATAGCTGCCCCCCCCCCTTTTTTTTGTTCGTGTAAGTAGACACGTGATGTGGGTGAGGTCCTTTATATCATTCAATCATTTCTTACAAGAAATCCTGATCGCAAATTACAGAATACACGTAAACAAACCAGATTACAGACTTCAGATCACATATTACGGATTCTGTAATCAAATCCCGATTACACACAAACAAAACAGATGAATAGAAACATATTCACACATATTTTTAATTATCCTTGAATCAGAAACAGAAATCAGAGTTTATGCTTGATCATAATCCACCCGTACAAGACCGTCGGTGGCACCATCCGTACAAGACCGTCGATGGCAAAACACATCTTGTAACATACTGAAACCACGGTATTCTTACCCCCGGGCAAGGGCCTTATACTAAGGATGCCATGAATATTTTTACATATATGGATCATCATTCCTTAATTCGTAACATAACATATCAGAAAATAAAACATTGCTTGTCATATCATGTCATTGTCATGCGCTTAACAAAATAGGAAAATCAAAGTATATATCACAATATTTTTGTTTTCAAATCATAGGTCCATACAGTACCATGACAAGGAAGACATAACTGTATCATAAATATTCCATACTTAGTGTTTAGGCAATTTGCAAGTCATCTAAATATATGATAGGTAACTATCATTTCAAAATCAACCAAAAATTGCATGTGCATTACTTACCAATCACTTTCCCTTTTCATTTTGTCTAACCAACCCGAGGTGATCCTCTACCCTTATTTCCGCCATGCTCTACACAACGATCAATCACAATATACACACAAGGAATGTACAATAAACATGACTCATAATCGTTAACATGAACAAATTACATTTACCGTTGCTATCCGTCTGTTCGTATGTACTAAGGATGTCATGTATGAAGCCTAAGTCTTTTCTAGGCATCCTACAGCTCAATGGATCCGTGTGTGAGATAGCAACTCGTGCTCTGATACCACTTGTCACACCCCAGAACTCGCCCCTAAAAGTTTGGGCACCATGCCAGGATCACAAATTACATAATGTAGATAAATATACAGAGACGTGCACCTGAAGATAGCTATGTACATATACATATACGCCGATCTTAACAGACATTTAGGGTACAAATTAAAACTTAGCAAAACTCCATAACTTGAACGATCAACATCTAAGAGCTTAGATGCTCAGGGTTTGACAACTGGGTAACAAAAGCCACAGGTGAAGGTTGATCTCCAGGTTGAGTGCCTACAGAAACAAACATGAAATAGAGTGAGTCAAGCTCAGTGAATAATAACACATAACAATTCAATGCTCAACGTGAATTATAATCCATATCCGTGTGTTTATCAATAAAGAGGACATATGGTTTATTTGTTTCTGTATGCATAGCTAAGTATCTTTTTCAGAAAACTTGTCATATCTTGAACATTCGGGGTTTCATAGTGCATCTAGGCATTTTGGGGAAAATTATCCAGCAAGCATATCATATTATAACATATCATAAGTTCATAGCATTTTTCTCATTTCAGAAATTACTTACCATATGAAACATTTCGTAACTCCCAATACGGATTTCATCAAAATCATTTATATTTTAAGTATCTTTTACGGAACGGCCTTGAGCCTAATCTTAAACACAATGGCTTTAAGCCCTTAACAGAACGGCTTGAAATCCTTAACAAAATGGCATGAAGCTCTTATCAAAACGGCATAAAGCCCTTGAAACACATTGGCATAAAAGCCCTTGGAACATCTGGCACAATAGCCCCTTGAAACATATGGCATAACAAGCCCTTGAAAGATGGCATATAGCCCTTGAAAAGTTGGCATGAAGCCCTTGAACATAGATTGGCATTAAGCCCATGTAATGGCATAAAGCCCTTGTAACTTGTGATGGCATAAAGCCCTTGTAACTTGTGATGACATAAAGCCCTTGTGATGGCATAAAGCCCTTGTAATGGCATAAAGCCCTTGTAACTTGTGATGACCTAAAGCCCATGAAACTTGTAATGGCATAAAGCCCATGAAACTTGTAATGGGAATGATTTCAGTCTTCTTGAAGTATCAGTATGCAATAATGCACATAAGTTTCCCATGGCCTGATTACAATTAATACAGGTGTCTCGCGAACAACTGAATAATAATTATCATAACAATTATTAACTGAGGCCACATAATAATATTAAACATTGCATGCGTGTCACAGGTTCTTGATGACCTCGGGTCCATAAGTAACATCATAGAATAATCTCAGTTTCATACAGATACTTGGCTTGAAGATGAACATAATTCTATTTATTCATTAAGAAACGACGTAGTTTGCTTATAGATAATAGAGAATTTATTATTCGCTATTGATAGAACGAAGTCATTCTAAAGTCATACCGATATATGCCAATCTTTCAACGTCCACATTGGCTTTCACTCATCATAATTGTTCATGTAACATGTTCGTGTAACACTTACAAGAAACACTTACAAGAAACAGAGCGTTAGTGATAACAATTATCAATAATAAATAAAATGTACATCTCCGTACTATTACTCACAGTGCATTGGTGGAGCATTTATTCCTCCCGAAGCGTGTCCTACACACATATGAAGTCACACATTAATTCTTTAAATCATTTCCCCTAATTTCCTTTCTCAATTTAACATGATTTATAATGCCCATAACAAGGTTCATTCGTAAATTTTTAACATTATTTCAAAACATCTCAGAAATCTAATTAAACTTGTACACGTATAACCCAACCCACCAATTCCATAATTCTATTTCCAATTTGAGCAAAATCATTCTTTATCATCACAAATTCATCTAGGGTTTCAAGAACATAAAGTTTTCCATAAAAATATTCATACTTCTCATACCATGACCTTACATCGCAATTCCCGCCTTGATTATACATCTAGGGATCATACTCCATCGCTTTAACCCATGAATTGAACCTTCAATGTTTCAAACTCAAAATTCCCAAAATCTCATAATTTCCTCTATATGCTCAAAATGAAAATTTATACATTTATACAATGAAAATACCTCAAATCTAACCATGGATGTAAGTATTGAAGAGAAATAGAACCCCTACCTCAATAATCAAGCAAAAGAGTGAGCTTGGAAAGAAGCCTTCGCAAATCTAAGTTCCAATCGGGTAAAAACATTAATCCTCCCTTGTTCTTCATCCTTGATGCCAAAAACCATGGTGGATCGTGATCAAAGTAAAGGAATTCAAGGGTTTGGGGGCTAGGGTTTCGGACATGGAAGAGAGGAAGGAAGAGGAAAGAAGAAAAACATCTAAAATGATCCAAAATCCCGTTTTTAAAGCTGCTGGTCCGAAAAACCCGCTCGAGCGCACATCTTCACGCTCGAGCGTACATGCATTCAGCACAGATGTCAAAACTTCAAATAGGCCTAACTCTCCCATCCGAACTCCGTTTTAAGTCGTTCTTGTGCTCAAATTGAAGCCCAGAAAATAAGCTTTCCAATGGTTCCAACCTCACATTCAAATTCAAGGTGTGGAAAAAGAAAAGGGCAAAAGAGTGACTGTTGAACGTAAACAAATTGTTCGAATTAAAGTTTTTGGTCCTATCTTACTTCACCATCATATTACCACTTCAAATAATACTCCAAAATAAAATAAGAAGATTCCAAATATACCACTACAATGTCAAGGGAAATCTTACTTCTCACGCTCGAGCGTCGCTTCAACCGCTCGAGTGCGCACAGACCAATAAAGCAGTCCGCTCGAGCGTCAACTTCTCCGCTCGAGCGGAGATTCACAACTCCCAGAATCTCAGGCCGTCTGCAAAATTGCTGAGAACCCCAAAAGTCCGCTCGAGCGTAAACTCCTCCGCTCGAGCAGAGGGAAAAATTCTGGGTCGTCACAGCTCTAGTCCCCTGTTTTTAGAAAGTGGATTAATGTTGCGCAGTTTAAGACAAAGTCTTTGAGGATTAACCATGTTTACAATTTGGTTGACTTTCCATTATGAAACGAAACTGTTCTAAAGTTATGCGTAATTTGGATAGCCATTGTTGAGGCATAAGGCTCGCTAGATAGCGAAAAGTCGCACTATTGAGGAAAGTGTAGACCATGAGAAGACTTCCTCTTGGGTTTTGAGGCATAAGGCTCGCTAGATACCGAATGGTCGCACCATTGAGGAAAGTGTAGACCATGAGAAGACTTCCTCCTGGGGAGTGAGGTTATTTTGACTTAGGCTGTGATTGACATAAGTTCGGAACATTGATTTGTGGACATTGTGACCCAACTTTCTTGTTAGAGAATTGGATAAGTAGATCCGTAGGGATTTACCTTCTGCTTTTATGGTGAAAAGTTAGGAGCGCAAAAAGGTTGCTAGTTCCAATAAATCTTTTACAGCCTAAAACAGTTATCCAAATAGTGGTTCTTAGATTTTGTCAAGCCATGATAGGCCAACGATGATCGATGAAGACCACTGAGGCATGATCAATGGTCCAAAAGAAATTTTTCCTTACTTAGTCATTATGAGCCAGGAATTTATAAGGTTGTCGCCACCTAGGGTGGGCTATAGCGATCCCAGTTTTCCCTTCATTGTTTAATTGTATTTCAGACTCGGTTCCGTGGATGTGTTGTTGTCTTTTTCTCCTTTCCATCCTTTACTCTTTGTACATTAGTCTTGGGCCGTGTTGGGTAGGTTTAAAACAGGTTGGTTGTGTTTGGAAACCAAGGGTTAGTGTCCATTAAATTTTCAAAATGGTTCATTTAATATCCTTATTAGTGGTTACAAACTTGTTCATTTAATATCCTTATTAGTGGTTCAGTTACTATCCTTATTAGTGGTCCATTAGGGCGACCAATCCTTAATATCTTATATTTATTTATG